GAAATTCTGCCTATAATTACATTAAATCTGTATATTAACTTTGTAAGCATCAGAATGAATATATATATATATCATGTAGCCCTGACCAGTTTGGCTCAGTGGCTAGAGTGTCAACCTGTGGACTGAAGAGCCCCAGGTTCGATTCTGGTCAAGGGCATGTACCTTGGTTGCGCGCACATCCCCTGTGGGGGGTGTGCAGGAGGCAGCTGATGGATGTTTCTCTCTCATGGATGTTTCTAACGCTCTATCCCTCTCCGTAAAAAATCAATAAAATATACTTTAAAAAATATAGCATGTAAATATATAACTATAAATTAGAATATATATATATATATATATATATATATATATATATACTTGATAGTCAATTTATTTATTAACTTTTAAGGATTTCTATATTAAATTTATCAAGGAATACTTTACAGCTCTCCACTTATTTAGGTTTTGTTTTAGGTTCTGCATCACTTTGTTAATTTTTAAAACTAAAACTGGATTAAAATACAAATAATATTTGTACTCTGTAATATTTACTTTGTATTTAGTGGGCTAACATGTCAGATGAGTACTACCAGGTTCAGAGAGCTATACCACACTTACTAATTTGGGGTGGGATGAAATGCTCTAAAAATACAAATTAAATCCATCAGGTCTAATGTGTCATTTAAGTCCACTATTTGCTTATTGATTTTCTGTCTGGAAAATCTACCATTGATGTTAATGGGATGTTAAAGTCCCCTACTATGATTGTATTACCTACTGTCGATCTCTCCCTTCATGTCCATAAGATTTGCTTTATATATTTAGGCGCTTCTATGTTGAATGCATAAGTGTTTATAACAGTTATATCCTCTTGTTAGATTGATCCCTTTATCATTATGTATGTCCTTCTTTGTCTCTTGTTACAGTTTTTATTTTAAAGTCTATTTTCCCAATAAATCTAATTTTTTAAAAAGCCTATTTTGTCTGATATAAGTATTGCTACCCTGTCTGGGTTGCAGGTTTGACCCCCAGACCTGCTCGGGGCTCATGTGGGAGGCAACCAATCAATATGTCTCTCTCACATTGATGTTTCTCTCTCTCTCTCTCTCTCTCTCTCTGAGTCTCCCACCAACTCCTCTTCCCCTTCCACTCTCTCTAAAAATAAATGGAAAAAATATCCTCCGGTGAGAATTAACAACAACAAAAGCATTGCTACCCCAACTGTTTTGTTTGTTTGTTTCCATTTGCATGAAATCTATTTTTTCAATCCCTTTACTTACAGTCTGTGTGTGTCTTTCGATTTGATGTGGGTCTCTTATAGGCAGCATATATATAGATCTTGTTTTCTTATCCATTCAGCTACCCTATGTCTTTTGATTGGAGCATTTAACCCATTTGCATTTAAAGTGAGTATTGGTAGATATATCGTTTTTGGCATTTTATTATCCATATTTATGTGTATTTTTTTATGTATCAGATTTTATTATGTGTACATTAAAAATAAGTTTTAAAAAACAGTTGTCATCAGCAACAATGATACCTTCTATTTCTCCATCTAAGGGTGGAACATCATCTCTCCTGGAGAAACCCATAGCTGTCCCTGGTCTGTCCATCAGGTCCGCATCCCTGGAGCTGCTCTGGAAGCTGTCGACAGCCCTGCTGAAAGCTGCTATTACCCATGGCTCCCTGCCACATGGCCATGTTGATCCTATCCACTCCCACATTGGGGTCACAGGCTCAGAGTTTCCCAGAGCTCCCAAACCAGTTCGTCCCCATCAAGCCCGTATTATAAGAAATGTTAAAGGGACTACTTTAAGGAGAAATGAAGAGAAAAGAAAAGAAAAGGAAAGAAACATAGAGTCTACTTCCTGCCACCTGAACTGGCATCACTTCTTCCCAGCTCGGCCAACGTGTGGGGAGAGGGCCAGCCAGGGTGGGCACAGGATGTAGGGAGACTTGGAATGGGATGTAGATGGGACAGTGGCAATGTGGTCTTATTTTCTGCCAGATGCTCATAAGCCCCAACCTGGCTTTTCTGCTCCACACTTAGGATTTCCTTCACTTATTCAAGGTTGCTTACACAGGGGTACATGTACAACTTCATTTGGCAGTCTGGGAAACAGATTTACTCTGTTGCCCAGGTCCAGAGCCATGGAGCCCGTCTGCTGCTGGCAGGCCAAACGCTCAGTTGGCTCTGGCATCCAGAACACCAAATTGAGCTAGTGCCCTATGTAGAGGGCAGAGCTTCATTCACAGCCCTGCCGGAAGGAGAGGAAGACTAGCCAGTGGTTCATGGGACAGGCACCTCACCAAGTATCAGCCAAGCACAGCTAACATCTGGGTGTGTGCACCCTACCCAGCCCTCTCCCCACACCTTGGCAAGCTGGGAGGGGACAATGCCAGCTTGGGTGGTGAGACCTGGATTCTCTTTTGTCCTCTTTCTTCTTAAAGAAGTCCCTTTAACATTTCTTTTTTTTTTTAATATATTTTTTATTGATTAGGATATTACATATGTGTCCTAGTCCCCACGTTTCCCTTTACCCCCCCCCCCCCGCCCGCTAACATTTCTTATAGTACTGGTTTGTTGGTGATGAACTCCTTTAGCTTTTTCTTGTCTGGCAAGCTCTTTATTTCTCCTTCAACTTTAAATGATAGCCTTGCTGGGTAGGGTAGTCTTGGTTGTAGGGTGCCAAGTTTATCATATGTATGTCCTTATAGTAAACTAGAACATTGTAATGTAATCTTACTTTCACACTATTTTTTAAATTGAGATATAATTCACATATTATAAAACTCACCCTTTAACTTGTAGAATTTAGTGGTTTTTAGTGGTTGGTGATTTTGCAGGTTTGGTTCCAGACCACCAAAATAAAGTGAAAATCACAATAAAGTAAGTCACACAAAATTTTTGGTTTCCCAGTGCATATAAAAATTATGTTTAGCCGAAACCGGTTTGGCTCAGTGGATAGAGCGTCGGCCTGCGGACTGAAAGGTCCCAGGTTCGATTCCGGTCAAGGGCATGTACCTGGGTTGCGGGCATATCCCCAGTAGGAGATGTGCAGGAGGCAGCTGATCGATGTTTCTCTCTCATCGATGTTTCTAACTCTCTATCTCTCTCCCTTCCTCTCTGTAAAAAATCAATAAAATATATTAAAAAAATTATGTTTATAGTATATATTGTCTAAATAAACAATGTAGCCCTGGCTAGTGTTGCTCAGTTGGTTGAGTATCATCCCATGCACTGAAAGGTTGCCAGTTCGATCCTTGGTCAGGTCACATACTCAGGTTTCGGGTTCCATCCCTGGTTGGGGTATGTGCAGGAGGCAACCGATTGATGTTTCTCTTTCACATCAATATTTCTCTCTCTCTTACTCTCTCTCTAAAATCAATAAAAACATTAAATTTTTTTAAAGTCTATAATTTAAAAAATATCTCACATTGATGTTTCTCTCCCTCCCTCTAAGATAAATTTTAAAAAACAAACTTTAAAAGCAGTGGACCAACCAAAACTAAAACTAGTAAAAAGGTTAAAATGCAAAAATAGGATCATCTTGTGTAATTATAATAGTAAATTAAGGGATACACAGAAACACATACATACATGAAGTAAAAAATAATGACAAAAAAAATTCAAATGTGAGGGGGTAAGAATGGTGGTGATTTGCCCTAGCTGGTTTGGCTTAGTGGATAGAGCGTTGGCCTGTGTACTGAAGGGTCCCGGGTTTGATTCTGGTCAAGGGCACATGCCTGGGTTGCGGGCTCGATCCCCAGTAGGGAGTGTGCAGGAGGCAGCCACTCAATGATTCTCTCTCATCACTGATGTTTCTATCTCCCTCTCTCTTCCTCTCTGAAATCAATATAAAAAAATGATGGTGACTTTAAAATGTGTTTGAACTTTTTTTGTTTGTTAATCCTCACTGGAGGATATTTTTTCAATTGATTTAGAGAGAGTAGAAGGAAGGGGGAGGTGGGGGAGAGAGAAACATCAATGTGAGAGAGCCACATCAATTGATTACCTCCTGCAAGAGCCCCAATCAGGGCGGGGAATCTACAAGCCAGTTATGTGCCCTTGACTGGAATTGAACCTACAAACCTTGGGTCTGTGGAGCAATGCTCTACCCACTGAGCAAAGCAGGCCAGGACAGAATGTGTTTGAACTTAGTGACCATCAACTTAAAATAGATTGCTATAAACATAACTCAATTTGATAGTCTGTTTTGGTAGGGAAATTAGCTCCCTCATTTTAGTTTGAAGTAACTGATATCTGATTGTATTATTTTCATATCATTCTCATGTTCTCATATTACATTTCATACTTTGTTTCCTCTTTTCATCCTTACTTTTGCAGGCTTTTACGTTTCTCTGCATTTCCTGTTGCCCCCTTAGTTAATTTGTATACTACACTTTCCAGAACTGCAGGTCCTAACAATCCAGACGGAGCCGTGTTTGTCCGCAACTCGTTGCCCTGCACTGTGATCCTTCTCCCCAGCACCGTCCTCGAACCCAGAGGAGACCTCTGCAGTACTTTATCTCCCTCCCCCACTTGACATGTAGGAATTTTGCCAGCATGCTTGTGCATCTTTTCAAAAACACCAACGCTGGCTAGGATGTGGTGCACCCTTCCGAAGCGCCGACTCAGGTTTCTTTATTTTTCCTATCTGTAAATTCTGTAATGCCCGCTATTCACATGTTAGGTCTCCTCAATGTATTTTTCAAATCCATTTTCCACCATGGTTTGCATTTCTCAGCTCTTTCCCCCTCTTTGTGTTAAGACATAGCTTCTTCATGATATTGCAGATTACTAATTTGGCCACTGATGAGATGCACCCCTTTGCATCTGGACCCAGGACTTGAGCTTCCATTATTGTTTTTATTATTTATTTAAAATCATTTAAGCCCTAGCCGATTTGGTTTAGTGGATAGAGTGTTGGCTTGCAGACTGAAGAGTCCCAGGATTGATTCCAGTCAAGGGCACATGCCTTGGTCCCCATTAGGGGACATGCAAGAGGCAGCTGATCAATGATTCTCTCATCATTGATGTTTCTATTATCTCTCTCTCCCTCTCCCTTTCGCATGAGCTATAAAGCAATCTGTAGATGGCTGCTACTTGTGCTGGGCTTGGAGGTACCCAAAGAGGCCAGGCTTTGAACCAAGGCTGGCTATACTAGTGCTAGATCTGGGGCCACTTAGCCAGTTATGGGACTTGCTGAGGCCAAATGCTGCTTGTTTGGAAAATCTGAAGCATGATCCAAGACAGGCCATTTGTATGGAAAAGCCACTGGAAACAGCTTTGGTGACCCTGAAAGTTGGGTGTGGTGGGGTCTCAGGGAATCACCAGGGTGGGGCAAACTGTGAGCCAGGATGATGGAGACTCAGATATAGCACCGGCCCCTGTGTATATGTGTGTGTTGGGGAGGGTTCCAGAAAAGGAACAGTGGCCTCTGCCAGCACTACCTCCAGCTCTCTCCCTGATGTTGGACAGTTCAGTTTCTCCCTGTGTGTCTCTGGTGCCTTTCAAGCTGCTGCCCCTGTGCTGAAGCTCAGAGGGAGTGAGTCAAAGTGAGTCCATGTGCAGGCCCTTTAAGGGGAACTGCCTGGGACTCCAGCAGCCTCTGTCTTCCTCAGCCACAGTCTCCACTGGTTTTAATATCCACAAGTTATGGGGCCTTCTCACCTGGCACTGGAACTCTTGGCCGGGGGGCCCAGGACCCCTCACTCCTCAGGGGGATCTCTGCAGCCAAAATCTCTCTCCTGATTTTTACGTACTACATGTGGTGTGGGACCGGCCCTTTCTTCATCTCCACTCCTTCTATTAGTCTCGATGTAGGACTTCCATTCAGCTGGATTTTAGGCAGTTCTGAATGATGGCTGTTCTGTAGTTTAGTTATAATTTTGATGTGGTTGTGGGAGGAGGTGAGTACTGTGTTTATCTACAATGCCATCTTGACAGGAAGTCTGTGTATACAGAGTGTCCCAAAAAATGTATATACACGTTAACAGATGATTCTATTACATTTTGAAAATGAAATGTATTTTAATAAACAATGCCTTTATAATTATTTTAAAAATATTTTCTTAGGCCACAGAGTATGTGCATTTTAAAAGGTCTTAATGAGATAGGCTAGTAAGCCAGGACAAGTGGAATAGGGAAACTGAGACAGATAATTAAATGGCCAAACAGTTTACAGCCATCCAGCAAATCACAAAACCCTACCTTCCCTCACTGCCCAAGGACACTGGAGAGCAATGGTTTACATTCCTCCCCGATCAGAGGGGAAATAACTTAAATCATCCTACAGGGAGATAGCAGAAATCCAATGAGTGCCAACCACACCCAAGGACATGAAATTAAGAAAATAAACCTCATTTTGGCACATAAGCATGAACTGATGAATATTCTATTGAGATCCTCCCCTAAACGCCCAGCCTTTAAAACCCTCAAGTTGAAGGAACCAGGGTGCACTCTCCCTCCCAGGAGTACGCCCATGTCTTTCTACCCTCTCAGACTTGCAACCAGGGGAGCAATGGGCAGCAGCAACTCTTCCCAAGATAACCCCCTGACACTGCCTCCTGACACTGCCTCCAAGCCCCCTTTTCTCTGACTTTCCAGTGAACCAGAGCAGCCCTGCCTGGCTCATTTCTTTCCTATAACATTTTTAGAGCCAAAGCAGCCCCACCTAGACTTTCTGCTGTTGCTTCTATCTTAGGCCCTTCCTTTCTTCACTGTCCACAGCTTTAACTCACATACTCTCAGATTCACCTGGACTCGCAATGTGAAATCTTTCCCGCGTGAAGTCAAGAACCACCCACTATTGGCCAGCCTGGGGCAGACCAGCTCAGGACCCTATCTGGGAGGCTGGGTCGGTGTCCACCACTCCAACCAGTGTTAGTGGCTTATTTCTGTCACTTTCACATGAAGGCCATTAGGAGCTGCTGACAAATTTTTAGTAGACAGGTAATGGCCAGTTTTGCAACTTCAATTCCAGCTTCAGGGCCTGATAGCTCTGTGAGCCAAATTTGGCCCCAGGAGGCATTCAAGACAATGGTGACCCTCCGCAAAGTGAGGCAAGTTTGGGTGAAGAGACCCAAGAAGCAGGTCTCTAACCTGCTGCTATGGAGCTAGCAATTCAGGGCTTCCTGTGACAGGCAGAGGGAATACTCAGGATTCTTTTCTTTTAAATCTTTACCCAAGGACATATTTTTATGTGCCCTGACTGGGAACTGCACCCACAACCTTTTGGTGTATGAGACAACGCTTCTACCAACTGAGCCACCCGGCCTGGGCCCAAGGTCTTTTCTGTATCAGGCCTCAGATTCCTGCTAGTCCCTCTGCTTAACGCCTGTTTTCTCTATAGCTCTCAGAATACTTGCAGCTCCTCTTTCCTGAGCATTACCGTGTGTCAGACCCTTTTCTATGCACCTCCGGCATCATCTCCTCTCAGGCTGGTACTAGTACATTGCTGTACCTGTTTTGCAGATGAGATAATTGAGGCAGAGAGAGGTTAAGCACCTCTTCTGTGGTTACCTTGCTGGTAATTTTGGCCTCCACCCAGGTTCACTAGTCTGCAGGGCCTGTGCTTTCCACCACGGAGCTTCCCTGCTTCGGGCTACTTCCCTGGGACATTAGCTGGATTCTGACCTCTCAGAATGCTTTTGTTTATAGTATAATTTTAAGACATCAGGTTATTGAGTGTGTGTGTGTGTGTTTTATTTTAAAAGGTCAGATTTCTCTTCCTATTTCCTGCTTTCCCCAAAATATTAAAACCTGAAATGTTCAATTATAAGTTCACTGAGGGCAGGGCCCACATCATATTCATCTCTGTGTGATACTGCCCACCACAGCCATCGGAGCCTGGCTGCCCCCGTCTGAATGTGATGTTAAAAAGAGCAAGTTTTCCCTAGATTCAAATCTGATACATAGGCCACAGAGATAAATCAAGGAATTAGGGATAAACTAATTCAGTATAGACTACTCGTGTGTGTGTGTGTGTGTGTGTGTGTGTGTGTGTGGTGAGCCGGCTCTGAAACAGCGTAAATGTGCGCAGCGTCACCTGTGCACTGGCCTGCGGCACTCGCACGGTCACTGACATGGCCGCAGCTGGCTAGGTGTCTGCCATACGCTGGGTTTTCACATATATTATTCCTCACAAGCAGGGAAGAAGCTAGCAGGGTAACTATGGTTGTTTTTGGTTGTTGTGTGTTTTTTCCCAGAGGAGGAAGTGAAGTTTAGACAGTCCTTCGGCCTGCATGGCCTCCGTTCGTCAGGGGCTGGCCACCCTGAGGAGCAGGGCCCTGGGAGGCCACCCTCCACTGGGCTCTCCTTTGGCTCAGGGACATGGCCAGCTCCCGAGCAGGCCGCTTCCTGGTCCTTTCTCTCCTTGTCCCGGGCTCAGAGGGCGTGCAGAGAGTTGATTCTCAGGTACCGGGAGCAGAGCACGTAGAGCCGGCGGAACCACAGGAGCTGGCTGCGGTGGCAGGACATGGCCCTCTGCAAGAATCAGAGCTCACGTTAGCAAACAAGGGCACTGAGTGCTTCCTGTTAGTTTGTTTCATCTTCCTCCCAACAACACACCGATGCTAGAGCCTTGGCAGGCTTCTTCCTGTGACCTCGGAACCGAGGACGGCTGCCACGCACCCTCTCCCATGGCCACGCACCCTCTCCCATGGCCACGCACTCCCTGTGGTAATAGCAGAGGATGCATGGCAGCTGTAACGCTCAGTCTCCACACAGTATTTCAATTTTAACAACCCAGTACTTAAGTACTATTATTATTTCTTAAAAAATAGATGAGGAAACATATCAATCTCAAGTAGCTAGCACAAGGTGGGCTGACATTTGAACACAGAGCCATCTGATTGCCTCTGGAGCCTTTGTTGTGAATCACTTTGCCCCAGCACTTCGCATGTATGACACACAGGGTGTTTCACGGGGCAGCTAGAATACTAGGCTTAGACGCCTCTGAATTCGGTAGCCCGGAAAGTACAAGTGCCGTTAGAGAGGAAGGAAGAATGGTGCCCAAAGGTCTGGGTTCGCTTTGCTGTCTAGTGGAAGAAATGTTTATCATCTAGTTATGCAGGTCTGGGAGAGTTCAGTTTTTAAAAAGAATGGGTAATAGCAACTGATTTAACTGTATATAAATGGTTTCTGCCTGTTTTTCTTTAAGTACCAAAGTGATCTTCCTCTCCAAGTTAGTATCATTATAAACCTTTCTCTAAATAACTCGTTTTATATTTGTCAGGACATATGTGGCTTCAGAGATGTGAGTGCACCTGTGATAACAACAAGCTTTAAGTGATAAAGGGAACTATCGCCCTAGCTGGTGTGGCTCAGTGGATAGAGTGTTGGCCTGCGGATGAAGGGTCCCTGGTTCAATTCTGGTCAAAGGCACATGCCCAGGTTGCGGGCTTGAGCCCCACTAGGGGCGTGCAGGAGGCAGCTGATCAATGATTCTCTCTCATCATTGATGTTTCTATCTCTCCCTCTCCCTTCCTCTCCAAAATCAATAAAAAAATTTTTATAGCTTTTTTAAAAAATATATTTTATTGATTTTTTACAGAGAGGAAGGGAGAAGGACAGAAAGTTAGAAACATGGATGAGCAAGAAACATCGATCAGCTGCCTCCTGCACGCTCCCCACTGGGGATGTGCCCACAGCCAAGGTATACACCCCTGACCGGAATCGAACCTGGGACCCTTGAGTCTGCGGGCTGGCGCTCTATCCACTGAGCCAAACCAGCTAGGGCAATAAAAATATATTTTTAAAAATATAATAAATATATTCTTATGTACATGTATTTATCTAATATTCTTTATATAGAAGATATAAACCAACATATTAACTAGGATTACATATGAGAGGTGGGATTGCAGGAAATTTTATTATTTTAATTTTCTTTTGATGCTTTTATGCATTTCCAGATTTTCTAAAATAAGCATATGTTATTATTTGCTTTTTTAGCATGTATTATTTTTATAATCAGTAAAAAAAAAAAAGGTAGTTCTTGAAAATCTATGACTCCAGGTCTAGCACCTGTACTGACACGCAGGGGTAGAGGCTGGCTGCTGGGGGAGGTCTCTGTTAGGGCCTCTGCAGGCCAGGGTTTGAGGAGCCGGAGTCTGGGGCAGATCTGGAGTGGGGTGTGAAGGAAGGTGCAATCCTCACCTTGGCCTGTGTCACTTCCTTGCTGGTCAGCACGAAGAGGACATCGCCGGCATGAAGCAGAGAGAAAGGCAGGTCCAGAAGGGTGATGTACTTGCGCAGCACATTCACAGACTCAAGCATGAGCACCGTGCACCCTGGGTGGGGAGGGGAGAGCTGTTGCTTCCAGACAGATTTTCCCGAGCACCCTACCTACCCCTAGGGGCTCAGGGCGAGGCAGTGGCCCTTTGTCCATCATTCTCCCCAATGAGAAGAGTGAAAGGACTGCAGGACACCTGGCCTGTTGACTCTCCCTGCTACAGTCCTAGCAAGAAAAGGTTGGTTGCTAGAGGTTGGGATTTGGCTACCTCAGGGCCAGGGGAAGAGGACAGAGACAGGAATTTCTGTATTGGGAGGCCAGAGGTCTGCTTCCTGCTCGGTCACTAAAGAACTAGGAAAGTCCCTTAACCTCTCTGAGCCTCAGTTTTCTCATCTGTAAAATGGTGTTGATAGTGTGGGACCTGCTTGTCTCACAAAGTTAACAAATAAGAATCAAATAAACTATAGTCAAGTTCCAAAGACCTCATAGCTTGGTGACCTCAGTAAGCCCCTCAGAAAGGCACATGCTCATATGTTTTCATATCTTTCATCTTCACAGCATTCCTGGGAGGAATGTGCATTGTCCCTCTGACAGACCAGACACTAGCTCACAGGTCAAGCAGCGGCATCACACAGTATATGGCAGGGCGCGGCATGCACCATCTTTTAGGTTAGGAAGAGTTTTGAACTCAAGCAGATTAATCCATCAAGCACCCACCAGTCAGTTTCAACCTGGTTAATTAACTGCAGGATGGGAGGTGAGTTTGGATAGACAGACTGAATGAACACCAGAGGTGGAAAACACCCACCCGTGAGAAAGCTAGAAGGCGAGTGGGCAGGGCCTGGTATGTCAGCTGCACCACAGGGTGCCCAGATGATTGGCTGAACATGATTTCCTGGGTGTCCATGACGGTGTTTCCAGATGGGATTAGCAGTTGAGTCAGTAGATTTCCTTCCAGTGTGAGTGTGTGTGTGTGTGTGTGTGTGTGAGCGTGCACGTGTAAGCATCCAGTTAGGGGCTGAAGAGAACAAGAGGCCAAGGAGAGGAGAACTCCTTTTCTGCCTGACAGAGCGGGGATGCTGGTCATCGGCCCTCAGGCCCTGGACTGGGCCTGGGATCTTGTCATTGGCTCCCTGCTTCTCTGGGGGCCCAGGGGCTCGGACAGAATGACCCCACCTGCTCCCCTGGGCCTCCAGCTTGTAGACGGCAGATCCTGGGCCTTCTCAGCCTCCGTAACTGTATGAGCAATTCCTTATAATAAATAGGTAACTAAATACTCTCCTATTGGTTCCATCGGCTCTGGTTCTCTGGAGAACCTTGACCACAACCTCAGTCTCTCCCCAACGCATGGGGGCTGCCTGCCTGGCTGGGCACTTCTCAGTGATACACCCTGGTTCTGAGACCTGGGGACCCGCATAGACAGAACCCTGAGCCAAGTCAGGAAGAGGGTGGCCAGTCTCCCCATCCACCCACCCACCTCTGCTTGGCCTAGGGCAGTTCTCTGTAGCCACGTTTACACATTTCACACTAATAGGTTTCCTAGGGGACCATGGCTTTCCCTGACCTAGCGGCCTCTAGCACAAGGGACAGGCTTACCTTCAGGTAATTTCCCTTCCGAATGGAGGGTCCTGGGGAGGGAAAGGACAGAGAGAGAGAGTAAGATGATCTTTGCAGGTTACAGGAAGGGCCTGCCGGGGAAGCCTGTCACGCCCATGGTCCCTCCAGGTCAGCGTCTAGGTCGTTTCTTTTGCATGAGTTGGCACATAGATTTATGCTGCAGCTGAAGGGCCCACGGTGGGCACCGTACCCAAGGACAGCCAGTCCCAATCTGGAGGCTGGCCATGGGCTGACGAAGAGCCCCAGCTCAGGCCATGCCCATCAGAGAGGAAGGGGTGGACGCTTCAAGGTTTTTCTTTCTGAAATTGTAATGTGAGTATGGTGGGAGATTATTTATTTTTAAAATATATTTTTATTGATTTCAGAGGAAGGGGGAGGGAGAGAGAGATTAAAAACATCAGTGATGAGAGAGAATCATTGATCGGCTGCCTCCTGCCACTGGGGGTCAAGCCCACAACCTGGGCATGTGCCCTGACTGGGAATCAAACCATGACCTCCTGGTTCATAGGTCAATGCTCAACCACTGAGCCGCGCCAGCCGGCTGGTGGGAGACTATTTAAAATGCTGACATTTTTTCCCTGCACCCTCCCTCCTTTCTGACCTGCCCCACTCACTCCCAACTCTGACAGTGGAGCTGTGTCTCCTCCTTCAGAGGAGGCAGGCCCCGCAGCAGCGATTTCAGAACCTCTGGCCCACTTTGTTTTAAAAGCCAAGGGTGGGAGATGAGGCAGGTAGTCCGGACACACAGACGCACATGAAAACGGCTTCTTGGGAGCAGAGGCTAGAAGAGAAGTTGGAGAGAACTGATCAAGTATGAGCCCTGAGAAGTAGAAACTCAGAGAAAGGTTCCTGGGATCCTGAGCACAGAGGCGCCTGGTCCTGCAGTCCGGATGGACCCTGGTGTGCTCGGAGTTCGGGCGGTTGGGATCTCCAAGGAAAGAGGTGAGAATGCGGGTCTCGGCTAAGGAGAAAGGTGAGCACCGGAGACACGCAGCTGTGCTGAACCTGCGCTGTGCCCCCGGGGCCGAGGAGCGGTGCTGGAGGAGGCAGAATGGGGCGGGGGTATGGGAGCCAGAGCACAAGGCACCTGTGGTGCAAGGAAGCCAGGCAGAGGCCGAGGAGTAGCCAGAGGGGCAGAGGAGAGAGCACCACAGCAGTGACAGGCAGGGTCAGACGCCACAAAAAGGTCAAGACCAATGAGGACTGAAATAAACCTAGGGGGGCTGTGGGACGATTTTGGTAGGTTGGTGGGAGTAGAAGGCAGGCAGAGGGGAGGAAGGACAGAGGTCGAGGGACTGGTCCTCTGCTCAGCAGGGCGGGAAGCCTGTGCACAAGAAGACACGAGGTCCAGCGAGCAGCAGCGCCTGAGGACTGTGAGAAATAACCCGCCTTCCCCTCCGGCATGACGGTGCTGTTGGGCCAAGCTGCCAGCCACTCTGGTCTCAAACTCGGAAGGACAACTGCCTGAGGCTGAGAGAAGGGGCCATGCTGGGGAGGCTGAGAGAAGGAACAAGGCCAGCAGGAGAGGGAACTTGGGGACGAGGAGGGAAAGGATAAGAGTAAGAAGCAGACCTGTGCTCTGCAGGGGCACAGCCGGCCTCAAACAGCTGTGGCGCCAGCAGCCAGGGAGCCACCTGAGAAAATCATACATCCAAACCATGCCTGGCAACGCATATGGGAGATGGGGAGTTCAGGCAAGCGGGAGGAAGAACTCCGGAGCTTTCTGGGAAACAATGTAAGATGCTGGGGCAGGGAGACTTTGGGGCATGAGATGGGGAACTGACGACTGTGAACTTCCCAGGCGTGTCCCTGTGTGGGGAGGGGCCGCTGTGAGATCACTCTCCGAGGAGCATGGACTTAGGAACATCAACACACTGTTTATCGAGCACAGTGACCCTTACTCGCACATAAAGCTGCACCCAGGCTCCTTTCCAAAGGAAGTGTCCCCACAGTCTGTCTGCATGAAGCTGTCCCTGGGGTTCTTTGCCAGATGGAAGCCTTCCCCGCTTTCCCCAGTTCAGTGGTGGGGACAGGGCGTGGGGGGGACAGGGAGGGGACCCACCCAAATTAGCCTGCAGTGCCCTGCAACAGTCGTGGTGTTTGCAGCAGCCCCAATCCGGCCGCTTCCCTGGGGCAGCTGGGTAGTAAGTGCCAAGGCTCAGCATGCACTGGAATGAGGGGAGCCACCCCTTCAGCGCTCCATGGGGCTGACCGTCCACTCTAGTCTTGGGAGCCACGGCCTCAGAGTAACCACAGGGTTGGTTGGAAAGACCCCTCCTGGGTGTCCTCAGCTTCCCACGTGTCTTCATGAAAAATTGCATCTCTGGCTGTAACCAGGAGATGCATTGTCCCTGAACCTGAGGGGCCCAAGGCAGGTTCAGGTCTTTCTACAGTGGCGCCTCCGGCTGGGATAGGAGGTGAGCAGTCTTCCTTGGCGGGAGCAGGCTTGCCGCCCCGCGTCAGGGAAATGGACGGTGTGGGAAGACTGTGGGTGATGATTTATAGCCTCTTCCAGGGGGCGACGCACACGTTAGGGACGAAGCTAGAAGGCTCTGATACTGGATGGGTCTGCAGAGGCAGCAGATAGACAAGGCACTAAATGGAGCCCCCGGGTTCCTGGGGTCTGGGGCTGCCTCTGCCACCCCAGCCTGGCAGTGCCAGGCAAACCGCCTCCCTGCCTGGGCGAAACGAGCAGACCCGACTGGACAGGTAAGGTCATTCCACTGTCACGCATTTCTCTGCTCCCGGCTGAGAAGGCTGGGCATGCCGAGAAGGTGAGAAGATAAGCCCTTCACTTCAAGTTGCCCCTTTCCTTCCTCGGTAGTTGGGCCAGGTCTACCAAGCTGCTGCCAAGGCGCCCACGGGAAGCCCTTCTCCTGAGGACGGGAAACAGGACATATGTTCGTATGACCCTGAGTGAGTCCCTAATATCTTTGAGGTTCAGGTTTTATTTGTTACTGGTAAAATCCACATCAGTCAAATAGGGTGATTGTGAAGTACAAATGAGATTTCATGTTATGAATATACATCCCCCTCCTGCAAAGAAAGATATGAAATAGTGTATAAAATATACAACAGCCTGGCTGGGTGGCTCAGTTGGTTAAAGTGTTGTCCCGTGCACCAAAAGGTTGCGGGTTCAATTCCAGGTCAGGGCATATACCTAGGTTGTGGGTTCGATCTCCAGTTGGGGTGCATACAGGAGACAACCAATCTATGTTTCTCTCATCAATAAAAACATATCCTTGGGTGAGGAATATACATATATATAAAACAGATGACAACAAAAATGAATGAGAATAGGGAGGAAAAAAAAGATGAAGCCAGGAGGCACACTGGTTCACACAACTCAATCCTTAAAGTCTCGTACATGTGGTACTAAGAGTTGCAAATTTGGCCCTAAAGGTTTCAGCGGTCAAAGCAAAGAGAGAAATTAAATCAGTTACCTCTTTGCTGTGTCCATGGTGTAAAACACACACACACACACACACACACACACACACGCAGCTGTTTGGGAGATTTCTCACGGGGAGAATGCGGGAGAGTATGAGCACCATCACCACCACTGCCACCACCGCTCGCTGCTAACAGTGCAGTTTCATGGGCTCACGGTGCTTCAGAAACCATCCCTCTGAGCAAATGACAAACGTCTCCCCCATGACCCAGAGCATCGTACCTCACAGCCGCATACAGAGCAACATGATTGCGGTGACCACTCACTCCCCCGGCATCGAAAGTCACCACCTGCAGAGAAAGAGAGGGTTGCACTCCTGCCCTGACTCCAGCCAGCTGTGCCTCGCTTGGGAAGGACAGAAGAGAGCAGGGCCGTGAACTCTTCACGCTCTGAGCATATCTGAACTGACTCTGGCTCAGATCAATGGTGTGTAACTATGGGTGTGGCCGACTGTATGGAGCCTTTTCCACAGGAGTTTTGCTGTTTGTTCTTGTTCCTGGCGGTGGAGCAGAGTGGAATTCAGCCATGATGTGCTACTAAGCTCACAGTAGCTTTGTCTTTATCTGCCTTGACAGTTATTAGAACATTTAGTTTTCCTGGCTGGCTGCTGTGTGGACTTTGTTCATGATGCTGCCTGCACTATCGGTCTCTTTTCCTCATGCCTTACTGAGGGCACAAAAGCTTTAGGGGACGATTTCAACCATGGCCTGGGGTTAAGTTCACAGCAGAAATACGTTTATTCATAGATGGACTCCGCTTCCATTTCCACAAATATAGATCTCTTTATTAACTAAAAACTTAGATTCCAATATTTCACTTCTACATAGATGGATTTTAAAAAGCCCAAAGGACAATTTAAATGATAATAATGATAATATAATAATAATAAAAGGATAACTTGGATAAAAGAAATATTTTAGAGAAATCAAGGACCCAGAAAAAGGAATAGTACTAGTTGGTTAGGGGTGATGGAAAGAAGCAAGCTGTCCCCAGAGGAGGAAGCTGACCACATAGCATAGACGAGGGTCCTGAAGCTGGAATTGGAAGAGGCTAGGAAGGAATTCATGACCAGTCTTTCTTTTCATATATATACACGTTGATTTCGAGAGGAAGGGAGAGGGAGAGAGAGATAGAAACATCAATGATGAGAGAGAATCATTGATTAGCTGCCTCTTGCACAGCCCCCACGGGGGATTGAGTCTGAAACCCATGTATGTGCCCTGACTGGGAATCAAACTGTGACCTCCTGGTTCATAGGTCGGCGTGCAACCACCAAGCCACACTGGCCGGGCATGACTGGTCTTTCGATACTACACCATAAAAAACGTGTTACTTCATGTACAGGAAACTGTGAGCAGCTAACTTTTACTGAGCATAGGCTGGAGTACAGATGGAAAGAAAATGTAGTCTTATCCACTGATCCTGATTCAAACAAGCTATAAAAAGAAAAATGAATAAAAACACATTTATGGCATGAGACTATTGGAAATGCAAAACATTGATATGAATTAATTTTAGGTGTGATAATGATATTAATGTTAATGAAATATTCAATGTCTTTTAGAATTACATACTAAAATACTTAAATAGGAAATATGGTGAAAAGGTTTTGTTTCAAAATAATGTAGGAGGTGGGGAAGGTGGGCTGAGTAACAGGAACATAGAGGTTCACTAAACTATTTCCTCTACTTTTGTATGCTTGAAATTCTCTATAATCAAAAGTTTTAAAAAATCTGAGTTAAACATTTATAAAAAGCTAATCATATAATAGTGGATATATGTCATTACGCATATTTCAAAATCCATGGCATATATGACACCCAAGTGAGCCCTCACGTACACTATAGACTTTGGGTGATGATGACGTGTCAGTGCAGGTTCACTATTGCAACAAATTGCAGAGGACAGGGGTTATGTATGGACTTTCTGCTCAGTTTTGCTGTGGATGGAAAACAGCAGCCTATTATGTTGTACACCTGTAACTAAAATAATATTGTATGTCAACTGTAGATGAAAAAATTTTAAATACAGTCTATTAAAAAACCAGTTAACTATCTAACTCAAGTGCTGATCCCATTCCTTTTATTTTTTTAAAGTATATTTCCTTATTGATTTCAGAGAGGAAGGGAGAAAGATAGAGGATAGAAACATCAATGATGAGAGAGAATCATTGATCGGCTGCCTCCTGCATGCCCCCTATTGGGGATCGAGCCTGCAACCCGGGCATGTGCCCTTGGCTGGAATCGAACCCGGGACCCTTCAGTCTGCAGGCCGACGCTCTATCCACTGAGCTAAACTGGCTAGGGCTGATCCCATTCTTCATGTAACACGGTGGGTGCAGGGGCTGCAGCTGCTCCACTCAGGACACTAGTTACCCCAGCCCCGTGGTCGGCAAACTGTGGCTCGCGAGCCACATGCGGCTCTTTGGCCCCTTGAGTGTGGCTCTTCCTAAGCCTTAGGAGTACCCTAATTAAGTTAATGACAATGTACCTGCCTATATAGTTTAAGTTTAAAAAATTTGGCTCTCAAAAGAAATTTCAATCGTACTGTTGATATTTGGCTCTGTTGACTAATGAGTTTGCCAACCACTGCCCTAGCCCGTCGGACATGTCACAGAACTTTACCACTGGGAGTTCTTCCAACTTCCAATGTCTTGTTTCGTCATCTGAGAGATCAGGAAAATAACACCTGCCCTCCTTTCCTCCTTGGGTTGAGGTGAAGATAAAACAAAGCCACGTGGGCCCTAGCTGTCTGGCTCAGTGGATAGAGCATTGGCCTGCAGACTGAAGGGTCCCAGGTTTGATTCTGGTCAAGGACACATGCCTGGGTTGCGGGCTTGATCCCCAATAGGGAGTGTGCAGGAGGCAGCCAATTGATGAGTCTCATCATTGATGTTTCTGTCTCTCTCCCCTTCTCCCTTCCTCTCTGAAATCAATAAAAATATATTAAAAAAATAAATAAAGCCACGTGGAAGTGTGCGGAACCACAAGCAACACAGGCTTGAGTGTCTAGCGCTCGGTCGGGACAGCAGACAGCTGGCCGCTGGGCCAGCTTACCACAGGCACGGGGGGGATTTGGGGCCCCTGGAGTTTGCCTCAGGCACTTTTCAAATTCTCCAAGGTCTTTGTTTCTTTCTCATTTCACATTTTTGGGAGGGGGGGAGGGTAGGGGAACTTTGTTATTTTCACAGGCTCACACAAAGCCTAGGTCTAGGTTCCTCCCACACTGGCAAGTTTATCCTCAGCTTAGAAAAATGTTTCTCTAGATTTCAATAACCAGAGAAAATATCAAGAGAAAAAGCCCCTCCTTTGTAGGTGACTTGGCTTTTCGCGTTGCTACCTTTAAGATGTTCTTTCTCTTTGGTGTGCTGCGGTTCCACTATGATAGACCTGCGTATGCGTTTCCCTCCTCCTGTGGGACTCACTGGACTGCTTGAAATGGTAGGTTAAGGTCTTTCTCATTCTGGAAAAGTTTCAGCTATTGCCCTTTAAGTATTTTCTCTGCAACGACTTTCTGGTCTCCCCTTTCAATAAATGACAAGTAGACAAAAAAACTAAGTAAAAACATAGATTTAAAAATATGATTAATAACGACTGAGTGAACAAATACAAAGGGCTGCATCCAACAACTGAAGAATTCCCTTCAAAAAGGCACAGGACTTTCTCTAGAAATTGGCCATTTTGTGACCTATAAGGCAAGCTGTCCACATCGTCTCACACTTTCCCTCTTCCTTCTGCAGCAAGGAGGGCTGAGTCTGGTCCACTCAGCTCCCTGGACCTTTGCAGATTTGTACATGACACCTGCAGTTCTTTTTCTTCTTTATTAATCCCCACCCAAGGGTACATTTTTATTAATTTTAGAGAAAGAGGAAGGGAGAGAGAGAGAGAAACATTGATGTGAGAGAGAAACATTGATCAGTTGCCTCCCCTAACTGCCCTGACCACGGATCTAACCTGCAAGCTAGGTATGTGCCCCAACCCTTTGGTGCACAGGACGACACTCCCAGCAGCCGAGCCACCGGCCAGGGCGGCACCTGCAGTTCACAGATCCCATCCACTTCTCCCACTAAGCTGCAGCCCAGCTGTTCTTATGCACTGAAGTAGGGGAGGAGAGAGGGTGTTTGGGGCCGGTCCTGGGATACCAAGGGGTACTGCAGCACACCTCGCAGACCTCGTTGTCAAACTTCAGGCTGGTCTTGAAGACCAGCTGTCTACACATCTGAGCTCTGGAGCCGTGAGAAGTTCTAACTGGGTGGGCTGGGCAGTCAATATGGCAGAGCCCTAACCGGTTTGGCTCAGTGGATAGCGTGTCAGTCTGCGGACTGAAGGGTCCTAGGTTCGATTCCGGTCAAGGGCATGTACCTTGGTTGCGGGCACATCCCCAGTAGGGAGTGTGCAGGAGGCAGCTGATCAATGTTTCTAAATCCCTCTCCTTCTCCTTCTCCCTTCCGCTCTGTAAAAAATCAATAATATATAGCAGGGAGTTGGACTCCTAAGCCCAGGGCCACAGCCCTCCGGTTTTCACACTCAGACCCCCAGGTGTGTTGTCAACAGGTGAGAGGTGCAAGCTCTGGTCCACACTTTCCAGCCAGGAAAGAAAACAAAGTCACTGCACTGAGCATGACAGAGATGAGCCACTCCACCTGATGGGATAAGGAGGGAGCCAGGCAGGTGCTCTGTTGCCATTCACACAAAGACAGCTGACCACGACATCTTCTGTCATCAGAAAAAAGACGGTCTGACCAATAAATCAATTAAAATCTGTCTTACGAACGGCCCAATAATCACTTCCCTCAGCGAATTCATCAAGACGAAAGCCTAGCGTGGCTCTCTGCAGAAGGGCTCACCTTTCAACGAGGCCTTATCGAACTCAGTGTTTAAATGGCTTGGACTTTAAATGGCCAGATTTTAGGTGTCAACTCACAAAGGGCTCTTATTCTTATTGTTTTAGAAGTAGACGGTAAGCAGGCTTAAACTTGACCACTGGCGAGGCCCGTTCCCGCCAATCCTGGGAGAGCGGATGGGGTTCCCAGGCGTGCCCACCCCTGCAGGTGAGTGTGAATTTCCTCTATGGCGGTCTCAAATGTTCTCCCCGTGGGTGTGAATTTATCCTTGTGTTTTTTTGAAACTGAGGATGAAAATTCTAATTTTGCCACTTGCTGAACTTGGGCTAGCTGCCAGCCTCTGGAAACTCAATTTCCTTGATGTAAAATGAGATTATAACCTTTACCTCTGAAGTTAAAACAGTACTCTAAATGTGAAAATGCTCGGTGAAAGGGGGCGTTTTGTACAAATGAGAGTTGCAGGCCAGGCTCCTGGGGGCCTGAGCTTTTAGGTGGCAGGACAGAGGACACCACGGAAAGGCCCCTGCCTCCGAGCGCTGGCAGTTTGGTCACTTAGTCTCCCAAAAGGTGTGTTGTCATCAGGAGGTTTGAGAGAGAGCGTGGAGGGTTCCCTCTTTTGGAGTGGCCCTGGAGATGGGCTGGGGGGTGGGGGGGAGGGGAGGGTGGCCACAGGAAAGGTGTGACTGGGAGGGTGTCCCGTACCAGGTTGATGTCATTCACTTCTATGTGCTGGAGGAGGACGCTGGCCACATGCTCTGTGTCCCACTGCACACCCGGGTCATCTGGGAAATCCCTGGAAGGAAGAAGCACAACTTGAGCACCATTTCTAACCAGGTGCAAACCTCTCCCTAAGCTCTGCGGGTGGGCGCCCGTTTTGTGACAGGAATTGTCGGGGGGCTGCCGTAACAACCAGATTTCTGTTGAAAGAGGTAAATGTTAGAAACAGCACACAACTAGAAATCGATGGACAACCCCACAGAACATGCTGGGAGCTTTGGGCTCGTTGCTGAGGGGAAGAAACAGACATCGATGAGACAACGCTTTGTCTACAACTTGAGACAGATGGTCAGTAAGAGCCAACCTGGCACGGAGTGACATGTGTCTTTATAAGAGTAACAGTAATAGTGTTTTAAATGAGAGTTCAAAGGCGTGTCACTTCATTCCACCTCGCGGACATCCTTTTAAGAGACATTAAGTGGCTTGCTTGAAAGGTTGTTAAAGTGGGGTCTGAACCAGGTTTTCTGATGCAAAACCAAGATGCTCTATCACTAGGGCGCCAGCAACATGCCACCCGCAATGAGGCACCGCATGGCCTGCCTCGGCCAGCAATCTCTGCAGCTGGCTCTGCACCGGGTCTGTGTCTGCATTGTCCAGACCACGGACCTGTGTCCTCCTGTCCCGTTCTGGTGCATGGATCTATGGCATCACCTGACACAGGCCAAGGCCTCAACTTGAACCCCTTCTTGAAGGAATTATAAAGAGATATCCATCTCTCTTTGGCTCAGGCCCTGTGGCAACACCCACGGCGTGACCCAGGGCACCAGGCTCTCACTGCTCCCCGCCTGGCAGGCTGCTCTAATCTCTCTGTGGACAAAAGCCACTCACTGACCCTCCTGGGACTTTGGTCAAGGGAGAGTCCCTGAAGGTTTTTAGCATGAAAGTGGCATGAGCCTTAGCACTAAATAATATGGCTATTTATATTAAAAAAAATATATATATATATAGTATAGTTATTTCTACCGCTTCACTGCTATCTCTACCAAAGCCCTCGGTGCCTTCTGTGGAGGGCAGGAAGCTTTAGGCCTTTCAAAGCAGCATCCACATGGCTCTCATACTGCACCTGTAGTAAACAGGACAGGAAGCTCAACTGGTGGGGACAGACAGGGAGATAACAGAGACAGTACAAGCCTAGCCCTACTCCCTGGAAATAGAGGTAACTACGGTATGTAGAACATGAGCTGCTGAGCTCTGGCTGCTGGAGGAAAAGAGACAGGAATCAGGGGAAAATACCTTGGTGTGAAAACAGCTGCATGCACACTCCTGGTGGGGAGGCCCACGAAATGTATGGCATCCTTCTGGAAACCAATAGTAGTCGTGTGGATGGAGCAGCAGGCTAAGGAAAAGGGTGGGCAGTGGAGGCTAAGCCTACTAATCCCTGGTTCTGAAAGATGAGTCCCCGAGTGGGCGAGCCACCGTGGCCTGCATCATCTGGAGACTCCGGCCTGCTGATCCAGGGCACGTCACTCAGAGCAGGGCCATAGGACAGGTGCAACTCCAGGCCGCTCCCTCAGCGCCTCTGCCTCTCACCGGGCAGAGGAAAGCCCATCAGAGGGGCTCTTGGACTGTACGTGTCCCCTCTGTAATCGGACACATCGATATGGCCGCACTGCTCTTACAATCAAGTCCAGACTCCTCTGGTAAGGCACTCAAGATTCTTCCCAATCTGCCTCCTATTTTGATCCACTTCATTTCTCTTTACAGAGCAAATAAGATGATGCGTGAGAGGAAGCATTTAAAGACTGTCGAGGCGTATGTAAATGTCAAAGTAGTGGCTATCACTGAGGCACTAGCCCAATGCCAGCGTCTTAAAAAAAAAGAACCCCCCTTTCTTTCCTGCTCTGGAGTCCCTTGCAGAGCTCTGCGCCGACCGCCTGGGCCAGTGGTCCAGGAGACGTGCAAGACGATCCGTGGAGGGAAAGCAAGACATCACTAGAATTTCTATATCTATATTTTTCTATCTGTTTAAATTTCTATTTTTTTTAGCTATTTTATATCATATAACAGAGTTTAATGTGTACACAATTTAAACGAATAAGCCCACAAATACGGAAACGCATACTCAAATTTCATTTCTTTTTTTCAGGGGATTATGATAAAAAATACAGAGTGGGACAAAAGTAGGTTTACTGTTGTTCTGTGGACAATAATGCAGTAATGAATGAATAATAATACCAAACTAAACTGTGTTTTGTGTACTCATAGCTCTAAATCTACTTTGGCTCTACCCTGTATTTGGAGATCACTGGTCTTATCTACTCACCCTACATTTTATTTTTTTCTGTATATTTAAAAACTACTTTATTGGTATAATTTACATACTATAAAATCTACCCATTTAAAATGCACAATTTAGCCCAAGTGGCATGGCTCAGTGGTTGAGCATCGACCTATGAAACAGAAGGTCCACAAGGTTTGATTCCTGATCAGTGCACATGCCCAGGATTGTGGGCTTGATCCCCAGTGTGGGGCGTGCAGGAGGCAGCCAATCAATGATTCTCTCTCATCATTGATGTTTCTATCTCTCCCTCTCCCTTCCTCTCTGAAATCAATAAAAATGTTTTAAAATAAAAAATGTTTAAAAATAAATATAAATGCACAATTTAGTGATTTTTTTAGTAAATGTTTTGAACTTCTACATTTTACTAGTGTTTTGCATATATTTGGCGGAGCCAAAGGCTGCTATACCCACCAGAACGAGGGTTGAAACATACAAGTAAGAGCTTTGGAAGTTAGCAACTTGATAAAACAAATAAGGGGTAAAAACTGTATAAAGTGCAGAGGGCAGCAAGGTATCTCAATGGATCATCTTTCCTCAAGGCAGGCAAACATAAAATTTGACACTGGGAAACTTCAGATAAATGTAAAAAAAGTAACTTCAGCCCTAACCGGTTTGGCTCAGTGGATAGAGTGTTGGCCTGCAGACTGAAAGGTCCCAGGTTCGATTCCGGTCAAGGGCATGTACCTTGGTTGCGGGCACATCCTCAGTAGAAGGTGTGCAGGAGGCAGCTGATCGATGTTTCTCTCTCATCGATGTTTCTAACTCTCTATCCCTCTCCCTTCCTCTCTGTAAAAAATCAATAAAATATATTTTAAAAAAAGAAAGAAAGGAGCTTTCTTAGAAGTGTCCTCATTAAAAAAAAAAAAAAAAAAAAAAAGTAACTCCTTCTAGATCAACTGCCTGACTTGTCCTTGGCCTCACGTTCAACCCTAATCAACTCAAGGCTTGGGTTCAAATGAAAACTTCTGCAAAGTTGCTTTCTTTTCTGATGGATTAACAATTACGCCTTAGATAAACATGCTGGCAGAATGTAAACAGAAATGTTGCAAGAGACAGCTGGTGAACGACCTCTGACCCATCGTTCTCAGTGCTGTCCCTCGTGCTGGCTGGGGTTTGTGTCTGAGGACTAGGGCTGAAGTAGCCATCTTGGTCCATGAAGTCATATTAGGGAACGAAGGCCAGACACAACAGTGACAAAAAAGAATGCAACCCTCACAACAGCCTCAGGCAGCACACCTTTTCCTGTTGCAGTTACTGGGGTTTTCTGTCATTTGCCGCATTACCAAATCCTGATTTACATATGACGTAAATTTTTAAAGTCTCCATTTTATTGATTATTTAGGCAGTTTCCAATTTTTAGTAAAGTAAAAGGTTGTAATGAGCATCCTTATACATAACTCTTTGTATGCATCTCTCACATATCCCATATGTTTTTGGGATAACATGATAAAAATGTACTTTCTGAGTCAAAGGTGAAGTGAACATGTGTAGATCTCTCAAGAATCCTGTTATGGAGAGTAGATGGAAAGTGTGTTAACTGCAAGAAGTGCAGCATTAAGGGAGTGTTTTTATAGGCCAACCTTTCTCCTCGGAACCACATGTATGTAAACCAAAGCCAGTATGAAAGCAGTAGTCAAGCCTCAGAGCAGTCAAGCTTTAGATTTAAAGCCAGGAATCACCCTCCCTATTTGACCTGAAATGTGAACCCTGCAGCAGACTGGCTTCAACAATAGTCAGGTATTCAGCAGTTAGTTACCATCCCAGGTTTGTGTAGGCCTACAGCGCTACAGGGAATGGTAATAAAGTTACCCAGCCTAGAAACTTTCTTTACTTGTTAGCAACGTTCTTCCTGGTTCTTATTGCAATGTTAATGAAAGAGTATGGCAATCTCTCAGGTGCTGATGTGCCCGGTAGGTTTGCTGAGATGTAAAGCTGAGGCAGAGGGATATAATGGGCTGAAACCCAGGTTTGGCAAGTAAAACAGAGATGACCACTCAGAGGCTCTGAGGACCAGGAAAGCCAGGGAACTGCAGCAGCTGGGTGGTATGGCCCTTACTCCATGTGCTCCCCCTCTTTCGGGAGATTCCAGCCTGTGGAGTGCTCTCAGCTCAGAAATAAGACTAGATCTCTGCAATATCTGGCGAGTGACCTTGTACCCAGACTTTCCAAGTTAGAGACCTGAGTTCTTTTTATTAGGTCTTCACTCTATATCTCAAATCAACCAGGTGATGCGTCCTGATAAGAAGGCAGTAATAGAGAACTGGGAATAAAGGCAGAACTTCCAAGGTCCTTCACAAAGGAGGTGTGAGGACTGCTTAAAACATTAAAAAGGTGGCCCTGGCCGGGTAGCTCAGTTGGTTGGAGCATTGTCTCGATGTGCCGAGATTATGGGTTCGATCCCTGGTCAAAGCATATACAAGAATCAACCAATGAATGCACAAATAAGTGGAATAACAAATCGATGTCTCTCTCTCTCTCTCAAATCAGTAAATTAAAAAAAATTTAGAAACCATAAAAAGTCTATTAAAGAAATAAGCCAGTCAGAGAAAGACAAGTGTCACATGATCTCACTCATATGTGGAAAATAATGAACAACATAAACTAATGAACAAAAATAGATCCAGAGACATACATAGAAGCATCGAACAGACTGTCAGACCCCTCAAACCTCAGAGGGAAGGAGTGGGGGCGGGTGTAACAGATCAACCATAAGACTTGTATGCATGCATATAAGC